CTGTTGACTATGGAGAAAGCTTGCTTATCCAAGATATCTCTTGAAGGTATTGGTTACTCTCTATTTGATGGGTTGAAAATACTTAGTTCTATATACGCTTATGGTTTCTTATTTCCAGGAGTGGTACTTTATTCATATGTGCTTGTTAGGTTAAAGCATTAGGAGACCTTGAACTTTTTTCAAATCCTTTTGTTGTCTTCCCGTCTGTTACTTTCATCTTTCTATCAACTGAATGTGCACAATTTTTTTTTTTGGCCATGCATCACGTTCTTTCAGATACATCAGGCCGGGTAAGGAAGATGGATGGAAATTTCAAAGAGAAGTTGCGAGAGCTTGGAGGACTTGATGCTATCTTTGAAGTTGCTATGAGCTGCCACTCTGCTATTGAGGTGTGAGATATTTCTGTTTCTCTCTCTTAGAATTGGCCCTTCTCTTTATGAACTTTGATGCACTTTGCTTGAATCGCTGTACCAAATCATGGGAGCCTCCAACTGCTTGCGACATGGAGATACAGATACTTTTGTTGGCTGGTTGGTGTTGCCTCGAAGGTTTAGAATATTTTAGCCCGAAGGCGAAGGTTTAGAATATAAGAGGACTAAAAATTTCTGCCAGACTTAGTTAATTTGGTATAAATGGTTAAGTTATCTTTGTTCATATTTGTTGACCACCTGTACACATGAATGTTAATGCAGAGTTTGGAGCAGCAAAATTCATTCTCTTCTCAGAGTGCACAAGATGTCTTGGTCCTGCCAAGCCTCGTGACCCTTTTGAAATGCTTGAAGATCATGGAAAATGCTACATTCCTGAGTAAAAACAACCAGGTATAACTCATTTTCTATATGTTTGTGGTCATATAACCTATAGGTTGCCCAGTGCCCATTAGTGCTAGGAAATTGGGTTTTAGGTAAACCGAATCCAAAACCATATTTCATAGTTTTTGGTGAAAATAGAGATTTTAGGTTTTGGACTGAAATAACCAAAATATTAGTCAATGAAAACCAAAACCGAATATTGGTTATGGTTAACCAAATTTCTATTCGGTTTTGGCTTCAGTTTGACAAACATATGCCTACTGTTTCAGTTAACCAAAGCTGAAGCCAATCCCACCCTATTACCACTGTTGCGAGTATCAGATTTTGATTGTTTTAGTTTCTTCTTTTGATAATATAGGACCATCTGCTTGCGATGAAAAGAAACTCTGATTCTCATGGTTGCCGAATATCTTTCGCCAAACTTGTCATAAGTGTCATCAAGAATTTATCAGGTAATTAATACTCTATTTGTTCTGGTTTTGTATGTTATAGTTCTTCCCTTCAGTTTTATATCATTTTTTTACCTTTCGCTTAAAGGCCTTTTAACATAGACGGAGTATTCATTGATCTTTAGGGCTATATCTGCTTAGAACTTCTGCTACCTCTGCTGATGGAAACACTTCCACCATCTCCAGTGAAAGTCATGACCACAAAGGTGCACCCTTTTGCCATTTGCTCTCTCCTTGTCTCTCTTCTTGTCTGTTTGTAACATTGGTTGTCACTCGCTATCAACAGTAGACATTGCTGGAGTAATATGCATCAGCTCGTCAGAATCAGATTGCTATGGTACAGAAGGTATCTCATTCAGAAGGGGCTCTACTTCACACAAATCAATTGCACAGCGTGTTCTCTCTGTTTCCAGAGAAACAGCTACCATGGAAGACAGTAACTTACTCAAGATGAGAGTTCGCTCTTCGATGTTCAGTTCAAGCAGTGAGACATCGAGGAGCTGTAATGGGCTGAGGTCAAACTTTGATGTGGATGTTGAGGATTCTGCAAAAGATTCCATGTGTGAACTCTTTGATAGCCAAGATCCCTTTGCATTTGATGAAGATGACTTTGAGCCCTCAAAGTGGGATGTGAAGTATGGTAAACCTAAAAAATCTCGAACTCCAGTTGTGAGAAAGCCCGCGAAAGAACGCCGAAACAACGACGATCCCTTCGATGTAATGGCCATTCAAAGTGAATCGAGTAAACAGCTTGATGAAGACTCAAGTAAGCTACAGTGTTCCTCACAGAAAGATTCGAATTCAAGTGTTTCAGATGAAGAATGTTCTACTCTTCTATCTGAGTGTCTTCTTACATCTGTGAAGGTATTGTTCCTCTCTGTTTAGCACTAAAACTATTATCATAGGTGATAGGTAGGTAGGTGTCTATACTAAGTAACTACTCACTCTCAGCTTTAGTAGACAATAATTATAAGCAATAAGGACAATATGGTAATTACTAGCATAATATATCTCCCTAATACATTTCATTCATGATTGTTGGATTTTAGCTGGTTTTTTGAATCTCATTTTGTTCTTCTGTCTGGGCAGGTTCTGATGAATCTAACAAATGAAAATCCCGTGGGATGTCGGCAAGTTGCTGGCTGCAAGGGGTTGGAGACTATGTCTTCACTGATTGCTGACCACTTCCCGTCGTTCGACTCATCTTCTTCATCTCTTAATTCTGCTGTACTTGCGCATCAAAACGAAGGTCGTTTAACTGATCAAGAACTGGATTTTCTGGTCGCCATATTGGGACTCCTTGTCAACCTAGTCGAGAAGGATGGACAAAACAGGTGTGCTTCTGATTTCTCCACAGACAGGCTTCTTCCCTTGATTAGGGCGTGTTTGTTCCATCTTCATCTCTGCTAGGATGGACAAAACAGGTACTAAGGTTAGTGTTTCTACAGGTCGAGGCTTGCATTGGCTAGCGTCTCGTTAGCCAGCTCACAAGGGTCGGAAGAAGAGAGTCGTAGGGATGTGATTCCACTACTGTGTTCTATCTTTCTAGCCCACCAAGGAGAAGGTGATCAATCTGAACAAGGGAATGGCATACAATGGGTGATTCCACGACCTTCCTTCCTAAAAAGACCCTTCTTTATTGTTCGTCTTACATTGCCAGTTTACCTGTAGCCTGACTTTGGCAATTGGCCTTGTCTAGGATGATGAGGTAGCATTGCTAGAAGGAGAGAAAGAAGCGGAGAAGATGATCGTGGAGGCCTATGCAGCACTGCTGCTAGCCTTTCTTTCAACTGAAAGGTTTGGTTTTGTTGGTTGTTTTGGTAAAACTTGCAGATTGATTTTTTTTTGTTCTTCAAGTTACTTGCTTTTTAGCCAGAGTAGTTACAGCCATTGATTTCTTATACCTTGCAGCAAGATCACGCGTGATTCTATTGCTGATTGCCTCCCAGATCACAAGCTCTCGGTTCTCGTTCCTGTGCTGGAAAGATTTGTGGTGAGTTTTCAGTTGTGGAATTGTGGGAAGAACTCTTGTGAATCTAGCGTTCCCTTCCATGGTTTCTTTAGACATTGTGACTTTGAATCGTGGTTTCACTGCCAAATGGAATGATGCAAAACTCGTTTCTTGGATCATGGTTTCTCTTCTTTTTCCCCCCTGCAGGCATTTCACTTGACATTGAACATGATCTCGCCGGAGACACACAAAGTGGTGAAGGAAGTGATCGAATCGTGTAGGCTGCCATGAAAGCTGTTAGAAGAAATCTTTTTGTACAGTTACTGACTGTTCTCTTCTCTCATTTTCTGTTCGTTTATTTTCTTTCTTTTTTGGGGGGTGAAATATCCAGTTTTGTTGTATACAAACGAGCTAATCGACCATTGGTTGCGTCATAGGTATTGCCATCATAATTCCACTTTCATTATTTTTTGGTTGATCATGGGAAACTCTCATCATCATGGTTAAGCCATTGGATAAGTTCCATGTCACACTTTTTTTTTTTTTTGACAAATGGTCTGTGTCACACATTGAAGAGATGTGTGTCAAAATCAAAGTACTGCAGGGGTTACGGACGTTGCGGGTCGGGTATAAACTTTTTATGGTTAAAATAGGTTGATTAGACATTTTTGTTAGTCACGTTAAAAAAAGAACTCCGTTAATGGAGACTGGCCGAAGGTAATAGAGAGTGACAAAATTTGGATCATTTAACTAATCTCTGTGATCACAAATAGGATAATTTTTTTTTTTGAAAAGTGAAACAATTTCGTAATCTCAATAACCAAAATTGCAATTTATCCAATAAGGATTTAACCTTTTTGAACTCACTATAAGCTCGAAAAATCGTATATCATAGGGTTCCAGGAGGGATATCCAGAGACAATTTGGAGGATAATAAAAGAGACACTTATCTTAAAGACAACATAGTTCCATGGAAGCTTATATGATATCTAGGGATGACAATTTTGACCTGACCCATTTTACCCGACCTGGTTGACCTTTTTTGGGACGGGTCCGACCCACCCCGTAGGGGGCGGGCATGGGTACTCTTCTTGATCTCACCTGCCCCGACCCACCTTTGCCTAACTTACATGCAATTTTACTCAAATTACTTTTGATATTACTTTTATAACATTACGTTTTAGCTTTAATGAAGCTGTAAATAGATGAGAACCTCAGATTTACGAATAATTTCAACTACATGTATCATATTTTTATTTTGTTTCTTGATTTTTAATGAAAAATGAGTATTTCTAACCTTTTCATTTTAAACTACATACTCATATGGGTCGACCTGCCCGACCCCTGCCATGTGATGAATTATTCGATCTGGACCCAACCTGCCGGGGGGTATGAGTATCGAGATACCCGCCATGGACCTGCCCATTGCCATTCCTACTTATATCTGCTTCTCACCTTTTACTTGATAGTTCCCAGTCATGGAGTTCTTTTCTAGTCTAGGGTCAGGGTTATGAGTTTCATGAGAGAGTTTACTTACTTAACTTACTCACGGTCAACCAAAAATTGTTATGTTCGCGATTCTTCATCCACTTATGCAGAAAAATCCGTAGCTCCATTCTCATATGAGGGCGGGAAGATTGATTGATTATTTCCAATGAGGAATATACTACTCACAGTTAAAATCCCTACCAAAATCTGTCCATAGGCCTCACGTTCGATTGCTTGGTCTCTTAGGTAAAAGGGCTCTGGTAACACCTTTTCCAGCATCAAGAAGGCGATGAATTGAGTCTATCCCACATTGGAGATCCATTCCTTTCTGAGTTCCCAAGATCATATAGGATTAATTAGTTCTTCAGTTTTGATATAACAAACAGCAGGTCAGTGTGTGTTAAATCGTAATCATCATAGTTATTGATCTCATCGTCGATATTGATCTCATCATCTTCCTCACTGGTGTTGTCATCCTCAGCTTTGTACTCAATCTCGTCCGTGAAGTTGATCTCGTCGTCATTATCGCTCTCAACCTCGTCGTTGGATCCCCTAGGCAGGTTAAGCAGCTGTGCAAGATGTGTGAAATTGCCGTCTTTGATGTCAAGACCATCACCAGGAGGTAAGCATGTGTTATTCACCTTCTTTATCTTCAGTTTTGCTCCTGCATTGAGCAGATACCTCGCCATTTTCATCTCGTTTTCATCTGCTACCAGATCGTTGATCTCGATTTCCTCGAGGCTTGACACCAAACACTGGGGAGGGCATGCAGGTTCCGACTCCCACTTCATTGCTTCTTCCTTATCACACCCCTGATTGACCCATTGTCATCAGCAAACATTACCACGATTACGACGAATTAGGACGAATATGGTAATCAGTAACTAACTAACTAACTAACTAACTAACTAACTAACTTGTTAAATATGTATTCTACTGGACGAGTACTGAACATTCTCAATTTCTCACCAAGTGAATGACAAGAGACTGTAATTTGGTGGCAGAGTTGAGCAAGGAGTGCAGTAGGCAGCAGCTGCTTCCCGCAGTTCCCAATATCAAATGTGTCAGATTGGGGAAGACAGGAAATTGGACATCTTCTTTCACAGCTGCTGACAGAAGACACTGAGACAAAATAATACGAATTAACAACATACAAATCAAAGAAAGGAGTGGACTTCATTCAATTTTTGATCGAATTACCATTGTCTGGGAAGACAAGTACATCCTCTTTGCATTCGAGATTTGGGCGAGGAACCTAATCAAGCACTGATCCAAGATTTGGCTCTCACCGATATCAATCTGCGCAGAAACAAGGCAAGGCGATTGACTGTCGAGAAACCGAAACTCTGCAAAGTCCTGAAGATGGAGATGCTGGAGACTTGGTGCTTCTACAACAATGGGACACACCAGAGCAACATCATAGCCAACACAACCGATAACGGTCAAGTTCCTCAAAGATGGCAAGCAAACAACGAGCATGTCTTTCTCCTTGTCAGCCATTATCCTGCTCTTTAAGCTACTGCAATTCTCGAGATGAAGAGTCTCCAGCACAGGGCAACCAGAGATGAGTCTGCTTAACGACTCGGAGCAATCCGCAGTCTTCACCCCCGTGAGCTGCAAGACCTTCAGGCTAGGAAGAGAAGCAGAGCCGCGCGGAGTAGTCTCCACAATAACCCCATGGAGCTTCATCACTTTCAGATTCTTCAAACCGTAGAAGCATTCATCGATGCAGATCATCCGATTGGGGAGTTCAAGGATGTCCCCCTCGATTCGAACATCGAGTTCCTCGAGCTGGCACGAGGAAGGCGTCACCGCCTTCTCAAACCAGTAAAACCACAGCTGCGGCTTCAAGTTGGACTCGAGCTTCTTCACCCAAAATTGCAGGCGGAAACGCCTCACGCGATTGAGATTCTTGTGTTCTAGCAGGACGTTGTCGATAAAGCGGGAGAATTTCAGGTACCTGGAGTGCCGAATGTGTGACAGGATGGACATGGCGAGCATTCTATACAGACTCTCTTCGAACCCAGTTAGGTTCTTCCTTTGCAGATACTTCTGGGCTGCGTCGGGCGGCATGTTCTCGCAGGCGAGTTGCTTGCTGAGAGGCTTGTGAACCAGGGTGTTGTCCAGGTCGATGTTGGTGATCTCGGTGTAGAGATCCTTCCAACGTCGGCTTAGCACCGAGGTTCCGGCCGCGTACTTGGTTGGCAGGAGCGAGAGTATGTTGGAGAGGATTTCATCCGGTAGGGAGCTGAGTCTGTCGGAGATTCCAGCCGGATCGTCATCAGCCCTCCTCGCAATTTTGGCATTCTTACTCGTCTCCGCCATCATTGATGGAATGCCAATCACCAGCTCGGCTCACTAGGGTTAAGCACTGTGGTAAACCTAGAAGTAGTGCAGGAAGGAAGAAAGCCGGTGCGTGTTGTTCGTGATATTCGGGTAAACCTAATAGCACTGTGGTAAGAAGAAAGAAGTTTATGGTACTACTAAGTTGAAGTTGTCCTTTATATGTTATGGGATATTTATATTATATTTGTATAAATTACTTTATTGTACAATTTAAAGTTGTATTTCGGAGCCAAAAAATTGGTTATGGAGGTGCTTTTACTCATACAAAAAAGAAAACTACATAATAAAAGAGTTAATTCTAAACGGAATAAAAATTCAAATTTATAATACTCAATATTCATACAATATAATTACGACATAATTGTTTGACACACACCACTTACAACTAATCTTGTTCAGCATGTATCACTAATGTATCGTTTAACCACTCATTATCCAATCGATTCCGATAATCGTTCTTGTAGAATGATCAAATCATCGTTTAGTTGTAAGTTTTAGGACAAACAACTATTTAAAAATAAAAGAGAATGCCGATCACCAAAACTATATTATAAAGATGGTATGGAAGGCAGTACATAATTTGATAGTAGAATTGTCCAAATGATATTTGTGAGTGGCTCCGCCATTGGTTGTACCTTTATAATTTGGTACAATTCGAAGATGTATTTTTATGTTATGATACAATTTGAAGTTGTATCATAATATAAAAGTTCAAATTTCATTATGGTACAACTTTGATTTATACCTTTATTGTTATGTTACAACTTCGAATTGTACTTTAAAGCATCAATATTTTAAAGCATAGCAGAAGTGCTCGAATCCAAATCCACCCATACATTACAAGACGAAGCTACAGGATGCAGATGAACTAAGCAGGCAGAGCCAGTGGTGAGAGCCTGCCAAGAGATTGCAGAGTTATGGAAGGAAGGAACAACGAAAGGAGAATCCGAGAGAGAAACAAAACACTAGTCCTTTATTCCTTTTAAGCCTTTCTGAATGTTCCCATACTACAATCCGAAAGATTGCTTATTGATAAATTACCCTATAAATATTGAGAAACTCGAGCTTGGAACCATAACTCTTGAAACCTATTTTCAGATGAATCCAAAGCACCATTACCGAATCCCCATCCTGACTGCGTAGCAAAAACTTAAAGGCTATTAGGCTTACAACACTAAACATGAGCATAGACCCTTTTTTCCTTCACCATTATCACCCACCGAGTTCATTCCCATTTCTCATGGCCAGATTCGAGCTTTCAGGAAGCTAAGCACCAACTGGTTCACTTCTCCAGGCAACTGCTCCTGAACGAAGTGAGTCCCTTCAGCCAAGTACACCGTCTCCAGACCAGGAACGAATTCCTTCACCATATTGTTGATGTAGTATTCCATCCCGGGGAATTTCAGGCAGTAGTCTTTGCTCCCCATTATCAGCAATGATGGGATCTTCACTGTCAGCTCTGTTATCGGTAAGTCTGGCTTCTCTTCAAACGATCTACACGAACCATACATGGCACAACATTAATCAACAGAGTTTTGGTACAGTTTCAGAACTGAAGTTTTGAGAATTGAGAACCCTTTTGTTCTTTTTACCTGTAGGGGATCTTGAGTGCAGTTTGGAACCCTGATTTCTGGTACAGAGCTCCATAAGCTTCGAGATCTTCCTCGGAGAACCATGGCGGGAGAGGAGTCGACGGGTCGACTAAGTCCATCACTTCCTGATTCTCAGCTGCAGTAGGCAGCTCACTGCCGGAGAAGAGTATGTAGACGTTTCTCACCACGGTTTTCGCATCTAGCCGGCCGAAATCAGCTTCGGCTCGTCCTGGTTCCTGATTCAAAAGACAAAATCGGGGTCAATTTGCCTAACTGGTTCCTAAAATATGCATGAGATTTTTTTCCTAATCTTTTGGTTCTCTTACCCGCCACCGTGAAGTATAGACGCCTTCAGGGGGCGGCGAACCGGCTGGGGAAGCGCCCGGGATCATGAATGGGATCCCCATGGTCACTAAACCCACTGCCCTGTCAGGGTGGAGAACCACGAACCAAGAAGCAACGAAAGAGCCCCAGTCTTTCCCTACGAGCACCACCTGTTCGATGAAATGCCTGACTCAGAAAAAACTGCAGCGAGATCGAGTAGTAAACCAATATGACTGACAACTGACCTTAGGGATTCCGAGAAAATCCAGGATGGCAACAAGGTCGCCGACGATGTTGGCGTACGTGGCGTCTTCAGTCCTCGGCGGGGGATCCGACAGCCCGTAGCCCCTGTAGTCGACGGCGATGGCCCGGTACCCGGATTTGGACAGGGAAACCATCTGGTGCCGCCATGAGTACCAGATCTCCGGGAATCCGTGGAGAAAGAGGAGAACTTTGTCGCCTGAAATGGAATTCAACGAAAAACCCAGAATGAGAAAACCTCTTTATAGTCCACTTGTTGAAGGTGTTGTCCTTCACTTTACCTGTTCCGATGTCTGCTACATGGATCTTCAATCCACCTTCGACTTCCACGAACTTGTGCTCAATTTGCTCCATGGTTTCTTCTCCCTCTCTTGCTCTGTTTCCTCCTCTACTCTGCTTCCTTTCCCTTTTGTATCTGGTGGTGTCTCGTCGTTTTGCGATGGAATGGAGTGTAACTGTATAAGATAATTGGTGGAAAAAGGGAATGGGCTGTGAAAATTAGGAAATGAAGATAGAGATGGGGCGAGGAGACAGATACAGAACAGAAGCATCGTTTCGGCATTAGAAAAGGTGGTTGATGCCTTGATGGTTGGAGTCAAGGTTGGTTGGTGGTACTCAGTAGTTACTTCATTTCAATAAAGCCGGCTGGAGAAGTTGGCGACATTAGTGAGATAGTGGAGAAGTAAAAGTGTGTTTCATCTACCTATTTTCATAACCAATCGTGTTAGGTGTAGTTACTTCTATCGATGTGATGGGAGAATAGAAAACGGAGCGAAATGAAACAACATAACGAGACAAGAACGCGTAATTTGAATTATGGAATTAAGGAATATGAACTTGGTCATCATTAAGCATGATTAAACTATATTTAATATGGTTCAATTAACATTTTTCTCTTTTATAATGATGTGTTTGTAGCACAACTTACTTTTATAGTCACTTAAATCAGTCAACGTAACAAATATCATAAACGCAACTCGCCAACCTCACAACCTTTATTCTCTCTCATCCCATCCTCTTCTCCTTCTCCTCACTCTATGCTGATAGTGGAACTCCCACCTCCCCATCATAGGAACATGAAAGAAGACACCACATTACAACCTATGCGTCTCCATCATCAAGGGCGATCCATGTGGGCTCAAGACCATCATGAGGCAAGACAGCTCGCTCAGCCTCATCATGATAGACGACCTCCTATGCGAGACACCATGTGCTCATCAAAAGACTAGACATGGCACGAGATTTGGAGATCTCGCTAAACCTTAATAGAAGTAGGAGTAATTTAATTTAGATCTCATTCTCAAAATTCCATCAAATTAAACACCCTCGTTCGAATTTTGTTTAAATAGATGTGAGCTGTGTCTTAGTAATCGTTGTTCAAAGAAGTCAAATGTGTGCAATTCAATTTAACACAAATTTTCTCGTGGGAAAACACACATTTTTTGGAACATCCAATTCTTCCACCCAACCTGGACCCTGGTGCAAGCCATTTGTTGAGCTGATTTCCCTCCTCTCTCCTCGTCTCTACCAAGCTTCTTCCCAACAGCACAATCCCTTCCAATGAGGCGGGAAGAAGAAGACCCGGTTGTTGGTCTAGTGGGACAAATGTAGGGAAGGCGGATCACAGTGTACATCTGAGCAACAATCCAGTCCTCGGTGGTTGAATCAACACCGGGTAAACAGATCCGGCCATCTCACTTTGGCAGCCTAATACAAAGAAAACCCAAACAAACACACTGCAGGCGACCGAACAGAATGTGAGGCGGGGGTGGAGGAGGAGACGGACCTTAACGGCGGAGAGAGAGCTTTCTCCGCAGCTGTCGCATTAAACTCCATCGAAATCCAAGGGGGTAGAGATCACCCATTTTCTTGAGTCTCTTCTCTTCTCTGCTTCCGCTCCTCAATTTTGAAGATAGGAGGATCGGTCTCTGCCGATTACCCGCCACTCGCCGGCTCCGTGTAAGTTTTGTCATATAAAAAGAATCCTTCTTTTTATGTTAAAGCACCATTCTCCTCTGTCCCTTGGGTACATTAGATCCCATAGAAAAGCCTCCCCATTTAGTGCATAACCGCAATCCCCACACACTGCTCTCAATTTCTCCGTCGTGGACCAGATCCGAAGTCTCAGTCTCTGCAGCTTTCGATCGCCAGTCGCGCGGCTAGCCTCCAAGCTTGCAGCTTTCGGACAGCTCCTTCCGCAATTTGTATCCGTCTTCGTTCTCTTTTTTAATCTGGTAATCTCGCTTGCCTTCTATTGTTTTTTTGCTGAAGGACTGAGCCATCTCATTTTCTGGGTCTTCTTCGATTTTGTCGTTTGCTCGTTAACCATGTTTGGAAAAATTAACTAGACTTGGGTGAGGAACGAACCTTGATTGAAGCTCAAGAACAAGTTTATGAATTTGTTGTCCCATCTTCCCAAATTGTGTGGTGGGCATCTTGTTAATCATTCATAGACCAGTATTGCCTGTAGATACTGAACTGATTCAAATGGGTTGGCAATGTGGACTTAAGCTGCAGATGGGAGAAATCGAGCAGAAGAGGAAAACAGTGTTTGTGACAGTAGGAACAACGTTGTTTGACGCTCTTGTAAAAGCTGTTGATACTGAACAAGTTAAACATGAGTTGCAGCGAAGAGGTTACACCCACCTTCTCATTCAAATTGGCCGTGGATCCTACATTCCGGACAAGGTAAAAGAACGAAACTTTATCCCTCCTTTCCCTTGGTTCACTCAGTGCTTCCCATGCCTGCTTTTCGTTAGAGTTCATCAAAGCTTGATGCATAATCTATGAGCTTTTCTCTGGAAATGGGAGCTCGGTATTCACTTGTCTCATGGGTCAGTTCTTTTTCTGCGGCAGTGTGAAGGAGAAGGCGGATCTCTTGTGGTTGATTATTTCACTTTCTCATCAAGCATTGCAGAACATCTTAGATCAGCATCTCTTGTCATCAGTCATGCAGGTAAACGGATCTACTGCCTATTATCTTCCTGTTTATATGCATTGCAGTTGATATGTAGAAGCATATATTAATGACAGAATTAACATCAGTGAATCTAGATACTTGCTACTGAACTAAGGTAGCACTGTTGCAAATATATAACGTTCAGAGAAATGAGAAAATAATGAAGTGTCATGTCCTATAGTCGAAGAAGTATCATTCTGTAGAACTCAACTCATTCGATACACTATCTGCCTGAATACTGACACTCAAACTTATATGCTGACATGATCCCTGCTTGACGATGAAAGTTATGTTCATTCTTGCACTGCAGAAAGTAGTATTACATGATACTCTGTGCATAATGCAGGGTCAGGTAGCATATTTGAGACTTTACGGCTTGGCAAACCTCTCATTGTAGTGGTAAATGAAGACTTGATGGATAATCATCAATCTGAACTTGCTGAAGAACTAGCCGAAAGGAAACATTTATACTGCGCACATCCACAAGCGCTGCTTGAGACGATCGCGGATATGAATTTGGAGTCTCTCCTTCCGTATCCTGCTGGCGATGCCAAGCCTGTGATCAATTTAATCAACAGATTTCTAGGTTTCCCAGATGATTGATGAGCCTGTAAAATTTTGTGATTCAAGCAGAAATTCTAAAGCTTAGCCATTCAGTTGGATTTGACTCTCTAAGTTTTCCATGTACCTAACATGGATCGTTGGGTGTAACCGGGACAGTAAAATACAGATTTTGAGTTAAGTCAATCATTTGGGTTCTGGCTATATGCCAGCCAGCTACCTCTCTAAAAGCTACTTCTGCCTCCGACGAGGCTGCACCTAGCTGTTAGCCTGTTACCTTGAGCAAATTGTCAATCTTGTTGAAGGGAAAGAGAACAAACTCACGCCATTGACGGTAGGCTAACTCGATAGCTGCTCTTGATCTGCAGAACTCTGGTTCGTCACTAGAATATGGGAGGATCATATAAGATCAATTCTTGATATGTACTGATAGCGCAAATATTCCTAACATTTGGGCTTACACATTGCAACACTATAACAAAACCAGCAAAAGAGAAAATGTTGAAAACTAACGAAAGCACTGTATAGGAGAATCCATTTCACAGCAGAACATGGCATTAGCTGTTTATACACAGCAGAAAATAGCATCAGCAGAACAGAACATTCTCCAACTGCTGACTATTGTAATTTCTTGAACGAAGTACATTGCACGAACATCGACTTCTCAAGGCCAGATTCGAGCTTTAAGGAAATCAAGTATCAGTTGATTCACTTCTTCAGGGAGTTGTTCCTGAACGAAATGAGTTCCTTCAGCCAAATGCACCGTCTTCAAATCCGGAACGATTTCCTTCACCATATTGTTGATGTAGTATTCCATCCCGGGCATTTTCAGGACATAATCTTTCCCTCCCACGATTAGTAGCGCTGGAATGTTAACCCTCACCTCTGATAGTGGTACTTCGAGTTGCTCGTCGATCGATCTACACAAGAACAACGTTCAATCATTCTAGAGGTCCATGATGGTCCCGGTTGGTCCGAAATCAGACTATACTCTTATTTCCAGTTGTCTGAACATTTGGGGAGAAATTCAAACCTGTAGGGCATCTTGAGGGCAGTTTGAAACCCTGATTTCTGGTACAGAGCTCCATAAGCTTCGAGGTCTTCCTCGGAGAACCATGGCGGGAGAGGAGTCGACGGGTCGACCAAGTCCATGACTTCCTGATTCTCAGCTGCAGTAGGCAGCTCACTGCCGGAGAAGAGTATGTACACGTTTCTCACCACGGTTTTCGCATCTAGCCGGCCGAAATCAGCTTCGGCTCGCCCTGGTTCCTGAGTCAGAAGACGAACCAGGGTAATTGCCTAATTGGTTCTCACGAAAACATGACTAACAAATAATGGCGCGCTAATATGCTCTCTTACCCGCCACCTCGAAACGTAGAAGCCTTCGGGAAATGATGAAGTGCTGGAGGAAGTACCCTTTCCCGGGACGGCGAACGGGATTCCCAGCGTCACAAATCCCAACACCTTTTCCGGGTGGAGAACCTCGAACCACGAGGCGACGTAAGCTCCGAAGTCTTTCCCTATGAGCACCACCTGTTCGACGAAATGTCTCACTGAGTAGGAGAAAAACAAATCGCACAAAATCGGACAGCTAAAACGAGTCTTAAAATCAATAAATCGACCTTGGGAACGTCGAGGGAATCGAGGACGGCGATAAGGTCGCCGACGAGGCTGGCATACGTGGCATCTTCAGTCCTCGGCGGGGGATCGGACAACCCGTAGCCTCTGTAGTCAACGGCGATGGCCCGGTACCCGGATTTCGACAAGGAAATCATCTGGTGGCGCCAAGAGTACCAAATCTCCGGGAACCCGTGGAGAAAGAGGAGAACTTTATCGCCTGGAATGGAAGTCAACGAACCCAGAATCTCTTTTCTTTTAGCAACTACATATCGATCGGGGTGTGTAAGGAATTTTACGAAATCGATCGGCGATTCAGGTTTGACTTACTTGCTGCTCCAGTGTCAGCGACATGGATCCTCAATCCTCCTTCGACTTCCACGAACATGTGCTTGATCTGATCCATCTTTTCTTTCTTCTGGTGCTATGCTGTTCTCTTCCTTACCTCTTGTCTGAAACAGGGTACTATCAGTGGTTTCAACGCCGGGCGCCGGCGGCTCTGTTATTTGTTTCCTTGACTTACTCAAGGTGGAGCATTTTATGCAAGATTTTTGTCTCTATTCACTTACTTATGGGTAGGAATCTGGGCAATTTATACGGTTTGGGCCTGCCCCACCGTGCATCCGCACACTTAAATATGTACTGAAGTCCAGCCCAATAAATGAAACGCCGGCCGGATCTTCTTCTTCTCCTCTGTTACCGGCGCCGGATTGGAACTGCGGAAGTGAATTTGTGCACGTTTGGAATTTTCATCTTTCGTACTCTATCCAAATTCTCTAACCGCCTCTCACTCATTTTCAATTCATCTTCCATTTGCCTTCGCTTAGAAGGCGGCAGTTAGTTCTTCGGCCGTCTACTCTGTTTTCACCGGTTTATTTCCGGCTCTGTTCGCTGCCGTGAGGGTCTAGTTAAGGTCAGAGTAATATCTCACCAAAACAGAAACAAAAATGGTGGACATATAGTTCAACTACTCGCCGAAACTAAATTCTCTGTTTCCATCCGTCATCATCGCTAGGTTTCTCGCTGGAAACAGAGGCTCCCCTGTTCCTGCCATCGCTGGGATTTCTCCACGGAAAGAGAGGCTCCCCTGTTCCGGTTATAACTGAGTATTTCATCTCCAACGTCCGCCACAATTGCTGGGTTTCCTCGGAATAGAAAAACAGAGGACTTTGTTTATACGGAGACAAGGAAATTGGGGTTTCTTTCCCTTCTCTCTTTATCAACGTCGTCACTCTATATTGTCCACAGGTACGCCTTTCGTTCGGAGTAAAGAGTAAAAGCTCAGTGATTCGGCGAACAAGGTACAAACAGTCTTCTAAAATGCAAATATAGTTCAAACGGGACGTAGAAAGGAAACAAGCGTCGCAAACTCCATGTTTAAACCCATAACAATAAAAGGCCCTTTCAAAGATACAAATTTGGGTAGATGTTGTGGAAAATAATCGAGTCTTCCATTTGCAAAATTGTTCTTTGCCACCAGAGTTTTATTCTTTAGGGAGTCATCGAGGGTTATCACTGCCAGATTTTAGCTTTGAGGAAATTCAGGATGAGCTGGTTCACTTGCTCCGGCGATTGCTCCTGTACGAAATGCGTCCCTTCCGGCAAGAAAACGGTCTCCAGATCGGGGACGAAGTCTTTCACCTTCCCGCTCCTTATGTAATCTTCCATCCCGGGGAAGTAAAGAACGTAATCCTTCTCGCCGGCGATCAGCATCGCCGGAACCTTCACTTCCAGGGCAGGCATGTCGTACTCTTCATCAAACGATCTAACCCAGCAGAAAGAAAAACAAAAGAGTTCCCAATCAGTCGTCACTATATCCACTCCAACCAAAGCTAATTTGATTCAAACTTTTGCAACTAATTTCATTCCATTTGCAATTTTGAACTAGGATCATAGTCAAATCCGATTGAGTTTATCAATTTTCGCTTGTTGGGATCGTTAATTTATCGTGATTCGATATAAGAAAAAAAAGACTCAATCTACTAGTATTATAACCGTCTCGTTTATTCAAACTACTTTACCGTAATTCGATATAGTCAGAAATACGGCAACCTACATACTAGAGTGACTAATGAGCTAAAATGATCTAATACGCCACACCCTATTCCAATCAAAGTTTAATTTGTCATGGTCAACGGCTAAAGAAAGCTCAAACTTAAAAGGATGGATAAATTACCTGTAAGGAACTTGGAGTGCGGTTAGAAACCCAGATTTCTGATACAAAGATCCGTAGATCTCCAAATCTTGCTCAGTGAACCAGGCTGGGAGAGGGGTGGTGGATGTATCAACAAGATCCAGCACCTCTTCTCCCTCACTGGCTATTGGGACCTCCATCTTCGCAAACATTGTGTATATTTTCCTCACCACCGTCTTGGCATCAAAACGGCCGAAATCAGCCTCTGCCCTTCCAGGTTCCTAGATTGCCAAAACGAATTCATTGAAGTTGGGGAACCAATTTTGACTCTGCGTCGAGATATTTTTCCTAGTATTTGATTTTACCTTCCACCTGGTGAAGTAGAATCCTTCAGGCAGATGTTTATGGTATTGGATCGCACCCGGCGGCACGAATGGCACGCCTATTGTGACGACTCCGAGCACTCTGTCGGGATGAAGAAGGGCGAAGTAGTAAGCCGGAAGGACCCCGAAGTCTTTCGCGACGATAACCACCTGTGGTTGATTACATTAGCGACGAGAAACAGAGTCTCTGTTTTTACCTTACTTTTAGCGACGAAAAACAGAGCAGATTGTTTGATGGATCGAAAGGAAAGGTCTCTGCTTTTACTTTACCTTAGGGAGATCGAGGGAGTCGAGTACGGAGCGGATGTCGGAGATCAAGTCGGCGAACTTGGCCTTCTCGGGCTCGGCTGGCGAGTCGGACAACCCGTACCCGCGGTGATCCGGGGCGATCACTCTGTACCCGGCGGCGGCGAGGGCGATCATCTGGTGCCGCCAGGAGTACCATATCTCCGGGAATCCGTGGAGGCAGATCACCACTTTGTCACCTGAAATATTCAAAACAGAGTTCACAAAAGGGCTGATAGTAGTCATCATCTCAGTCTACAAGTTACTTACCTGTCCCGATCTCGGCAAGGTGGAGCTTCAGTCCTTGGGCCTCGACGAACTTGTGCTGGATTTGGTCCATTTCTCCGGCGATTTCCTGCGCCGGGAAGTGATTGGAGATGGTGGTATTTTGAACGGGATGAAAAATGGTCTGTTGATTTGGAATGGCTCTGCTTGAAGGCTAGATGGGTGGAGCTTTATATATCCCTCCATTGATTGGCCGGCCCTGGCTGAGAGCTTTCTCTGCCTAACTCTCTTGTGACCTTTTTGGGGGGAAGCGGATGTCTTCATTCACCGCATCTGGATTTTTAACCTGATTCTGTTGTCTTTTGGCCGGAAATTCAACGCCGAAGCACAGTTTACCTGTTCTATTGTTCTGCTTTCTCCGTCCTGTTTTAAAATTAGTGTTGCAAAACGAGAAAATTTAGCGAAATGTGAAATGTCACCGTATACAGAATGAGTCATTTAAATTAACCAGTTTAAATTACTTTCTCATCCCAGACAATTGTTGTCACGTTTAAATTGCCAATTTTAATATCAATTTTGCTTGCTTTGGAAAACGACTATCATTTACTTGCAAAACGACGTCGCGATGAATATTGAAAGTAGAATCTGTGTCAATCAGTTATCGAGAGGTCCCTTCCTTTCTCCATCGACAATTCTACAACTTCGTCTCCGCCGCTCTAATCTCAGTCGCCGACCGCAGGTTAGCGATTCGCCGCAGGCGAAAGAGCGACCGACGTCAAGGATCCAATCCATCCTCCCTGCAACACAAAGTTTGGGTTCGTACTCATTCTAATCGCAATTTCTAGTCGCTCATCGATTGGGTAAATTACGGCTTATGAATTGGTTTGGTAGGAAAAGAATAGGGGCATTAGGTTTCCAGGGCATAGGCAAGTTCCCGTAGCTTCATCGGAACGTTTGATTAGGTTTTGTGATGAGTAAAATGACAGTGATTTGTACTCTCATGAGTGTGGAAAATCAGTGGATCCGAATCTAGTACTTTCGTTTTAGGGTTTGAGTTCGACTTTGTGAGCTGAATCTGGAATACTGTTTAATCGATGGTTTTGCTTTTGTAGGTAGTACAGTTTTGTGGAGTTTAGAGAGGAAGGTTGATTAATCATGGCAGACTTGGAGGATCTGCTGCTGGAAGCAGCTGGAAGAACTGGCAATGGAGGAGGAAGAAACCGCAACTCTCGTCCACCCTCCAGGAGAAGAGGCGGTGGTGGGGAGGGCTCGTATTCGGATGATGGAAGCCACTCGAGGGATGAAGATTCCAATGATGATGACCATGGATATCCGAGCAGCAGGAAAAAACCATCCGGGTCTCAAGTCCCTCTCAAGAAACGAATGGATGCAGCTGAAAAGGATGATGATGACGGCGAGCTGAACAGCCAGGAAGAAGAACCCGGTTATGATGACAACCGGAGGAACTCTGATCAAGATAGCGATGATTCAGATGTTGGCTCGGATCTCTACAAAGATGAGGAAGACCGAAGGAAACTCGAGCAGATGTCGGAACTCGATAGGGAAATGATCTTGACAGAACGTGCAGATAAGAAGGGGGACAAGAATCTAACTGAGAGTATCCGGTCCAAACGTGAGAAGAACAGTACGAAAGAAACTCCACCACCAAAGGCTCAAGCATCATCTCGTGGGGTACGTTCCTCAGCTCGATCAGCAGACAGATCAGCCGCGCAAAATGATGCCTTGAATGAGCTCAAAGCCAAACGACTTCGGCAGCAGGATCCTGAGGCTCACAGGAAGAGACTTCGTGAAGCTTCTTCTTCTGGTGGTCCTGCTCCAGCTAAGCGAAAGCCATTCACCTCAACAACGAGTTTGAGCAGCTCGAGCCAGAGTGACAGTGAGAGTGGGTCTCGCAGTGACAATGAAGAGTCGACCGGGATGGGGGACAGTGATGATGAGAGGGATGGTTCGCCATCATATGAAGACATAAGAGAGATCACGATTCGGAGATCGAAGCTTGCTAAGTGGTTGATGGAGCCGTGGTTTGATGAGCTGATCGTGGGTTGCTTCGTACGAGTCGGGATAGGGAAGTCGAGATCCGGACCCATATACCGACTCTGCTTAGTGCGAAACATCGATGCTGCTGATCCTGACCGTCCATACAAGCTTGAGAACAAGACCACGTATAAGTACCTCAACGTCGTATGGGGTAATGAAAGCTCTGCTGCACGTTGGCAGATGGCTATGGTTTCAGACTCATTACCAACTGAAGAAGAATACAAGCTGTGGAAGAAAGAAGTTGAAAAGACTAACGGTCGAATGCCGAGCAAGCAAGATATCTTGGAGAAGAAGGAAGCGATCAAGAAGTCAACTACATTCGTATACTCTGCCGCCACGGTGAAGCAAATGCTGCAGGAGAAGAAGTCTGCATCGACAAGACCTTTGAATGTGGCAGCGGAGAAAGATCGGTTGAGGAGAGAAATGGAGGTGGCAGAAGGAAGGAATGATTCGGCTGAAGTGGAGAGGATCAAGGCAAGGATTCGTGAGCTGGAAGCTTCACGGCTAGCTCAGGAAGTGGACAAGAAGGCCGTGAAGCTTGCCGAGATGAACAGAAAGAACAGAGTGGAGAATTTCAGAAATGCTTCTGAGCTCAAACCAGCGAAGACCGGGTTGAAAGCAGGGGAGGCCGGGTACGACCCATTTTCAAGGAGATGGACTCGGTCGAGAAACTACTACACCGGTCAAAACGCCGCCGCTGCTGCTGCTGCCAACAACGCTGCCATCACAGAAGGTGAGGGAAGTGGAGTAGCAGCGTCAGCTGTGAAGGGCGAGACTGCAACAGCAGCAGCATTAGAGGCAGCTGCGGGAGCTGGCAAGTTGGTCGATACGCGAGCACCGGTGGATCAAGGTACGGTGTCGTATGCCTTGCACGATTTCGAGCTGCCGATATCGTTGGATGCACTGCATAGGTTTGGGGGTGCCAAGGGAGTCGAGAATGGGTACATGGCGAGGAAGCAACGGATTGAAGCCACGATTGGATGCCAGGTCCCGGAGAACGATGGCCGACGACATGCTCTGACGCTGACTGTTAGTGACTACAAGAGGAGAAGAGGGCTTCTGTGAGTGTTTTTTTTGGCGACTTTGTGATGGATATGCAGACTTACGAAGATTTAGAAGCTCTGTTATGGATAGTTTGTCTGTCTCAGATTAAGAAGAGAATCGTTTCCCCATGGAATTGTAATGTGATGTGTTAGATGTGTTCTTCATCCTCTCATAGCATAACACAAACAAGACCTAACTTTTCAAATGTTATGCTTTGACTTATAGATGGAAAAATATGACACCTTCATGTGTTGAATTCTGAAATGCCATCCCGACACCAATGTTGAGTCCAATTAATGGCTGTTTTTGTTAATATATTATATACAAACAATTCTAAGGAAGAACCAGATTTGTAACTATGGTGTTGTAGCCATCCTTTTTTCATAGAGTTTTCAAGCTCTAAAACCTTAAATACCCATATGGAATGTTTATCTGCCTCAAGTTTTATGACATCCTACTTATCGTGTCTATATTATCGCAAAACATTTTGATGTAATGATGTTGGTTGTAAAATTTAAAACCACCAACCTCTAGTTGAATTTTTATAAAGACAAGTATTTTTCATGTGACGATTGTAAAACTTCAAACCACCAAACCTCAATACAATCTTCTACAAGTATATGTCCTCGTTTAATCGAACGAAAAGTATGAAATCATATTGAATATCAAATAAATGAGAATGATGAATCAAATTTTAGTGATAAACCCAAAATAGATGAATCAATATGTACTAAATTAGTAAGTTTGACTCTTATAATCTTAAATACAAGCATTCACCAAGCAAAAACAAATTGTAAACGATATATAGTAATTAATAATTACATATTGAAGTCCTTCTGCAAATTAAAGAGAACCCAAGTACATATTCAAACACTTGCCTATATTTACTATCTTTGATCATTCTTCTGGATATTTTACAAATGAATTAGTAATAATTCATATAAAGTGAAAAACATAGCGATTTATTTGTAAGATTTGTGAAATTTGGCTAAATATTTGCAAGGAGTGAAGACGTTCAATCTTGATTTAATCCACGTGATGTACATACAAAATTCAACACGGTATATTTTTTAATTAAATATTCATTGCTCATACGGAAATTTCTATTTAACCGCTAATAGGGGGAGCTATAAGTCCGAATCACTTGCTCTCGTGAATTTGTCAGCTACTCATGAGATCATAATAGTTTTGAACTTTTGCGTCAAGGCCCTTCCTCATAGCAGTAATAATTGTGATACAGAATTACACATAATAATTTTAGAATTAGAGATTAAATATACGATATTATAAAAAGATGGAAAAAGAAACAATGTAATCAAACATGCATTTTCAAAATCACTAACATTACTACTTGGTTGTCAAACAAGGCTTTAATCACCAATTATACTAAAAAAATGATGATTCGAAATTGAGATGGAAATTGGTTACGTAATTCGTTTCATTCCCACCTAAAAACGGCTAATGCAAAGAGATGGATAGAGAGAAAAAGAGGGACTGAAATGAAGGCTCTGTTCTTTCTTTCTTTCTTTCTTTCTTCTTCCTTCCCCTCCCTCCCTTTTGTTCCTGGAAACTGTCTCTCCTTGTTTCAGGAAAGTAGGAGAAGCTCCCTTTTCGCATTTTCATCCTCTCTCCCCTAATCCTCCCTACATTTTCTTAAACCGAAGATTTAACGTTAATTCTCTCCTTCTCTACACTCTTTACACTAAATCTCTCTACGTACCTTTTCTAAACCTACCTTCTTTTATAACGAGAAACCTTGCCGCATTCATCGTAGTCCCACATTCAGTGGAATTCCTGAAAGTTTTCCTTATATACACTCTGCATCCAAATTAATCTCCTTGGAAAGTTTCCTAAACCATTCCAAGATCGTGAAGAATGGCAATGGCGAACGTGTTCTTCTAGTGAAAAAAGGAGAATGAAAGAAGGGAAGACCACGAAGGCGGCGGTGTTGATTGGTTGCCGGATTCACCACGATCAGAAATCGGCGTCTCTGTTTTTACACCACCATGTGCAGGGCGCGAAGAGATTCGTACTCGGGTTCGTCTTCCTCGTCCTTTTGGTCTACAATGGCGCCGCCGTGTTCTACGTCCACGTCCCGTTCTTCCCCGCCGTCAATTCCCCCGCCAATTTCTCCTCGTCGTCGTCGGAAGGGAAACCCGGCCTCCACCGGGAGGAAAAAAAAGTAAAACCGTCGTTGCCTTTCCGCATCGTCTCCCTCCACGCGCTGAGCGAGACGCTACCCACCACGCGCTTCCCCAGCCCGGTGGTCCCCACCACGGCGGCGGCGATCAAAAGGCACGGCCGGAAGGGGCATTCGCTGAAGTGGCACGTGGCGAAGGCGATACGGAAGTTGGAGCCCCGACGCGGCCCGCCCGAGTCCAGATCCGGACCCGAATTCACCGCCCGGATCCGGGACTTCTTCCGGAGCTCCGACTGCAACCCGCGATTCTTCATGACCCTGATCTCCCCCTCCCAAGATTCGCTCGGCGACCGGGAAATCTTCGCCGTCGAGAGCCTCTTCCGAACCCACCGAAACGCCTGCCTCGTCATCGTCTCGAATTCGATGGACTCCGAGCCCGGCCGACGCCTCCTGAAGCGATTCGCCGACAGGAATTTCCACATCGCCGCCGTGAAACCCAACTTCGCCGCCGCATTCAGAGGCACCCCGGCGGAGATCTGGTTCCGGGAATTGAAATCGGGTCGGGTCAGACCCGGGGACGTCTCCCTCGCACAGAACCTATCCAATTTGCTCCGCCTCGCCCTGCTGTACAAATTCGGCGGGATCTACCTCGACACCGACGTCGTCGTTTTGCGGAGCTTCGCCGGGCTGCGGAATGCCATCGGCGCCCAGACCGTCGACTTGGAGACCGGGAAGTGGAGCCGGCTGAACAACGCCGTTCTGGTGTTCGATCGGAACCACCCGTTGGTTTACAGGTTCATCGAGGAATTCGCGACGACGTTCGACGGGAGCAAGTGGGGGCATAACGGTCCGTATTTGGTTTCGAGGGTTGTGGAGAGGGTGGAGGGGAATTCGGGTTATAATTTCACGGTGCTGCCGCCGCCGGCGTTTTATCCGGTGGATTGGAGCAGGATTTCGGGCTTGTTTCAGGGTCCTCGGGATCGGATTCAGTCGAGTTGGGTGAGGAGGAAACTGGAGCGGATTAAGAAGGAGAGCTTCGCCGTTCATTTGTGGAATCGGCAGAGTCGGGATGTGGAGATTGAGGATGGGAGCGTGATGAATCGGATCATGATGGAGTACTGTATTTTCTGCAACTCTTCTTCTTCTTGAAGGGTTTTTTTTTGTTGTTGTTGGGTTGGTTTAATTAGAGCTTGTTTTCATATTCCATTTGTAGTGTTGATGATGGAAAGGAGAATCCTTTTCTTGAAAAAACAATAGAAGGGTTTGTGATTTTGCTATGTGTTTATGTTAATTTGGTAATGGTCAGGTAAAATTTGTAAATGAAAGAGTTAGTCTACAAAAATGTTGGATTTAATCGGATGAATTGGAAGTTAACGAATATATATTGTTAGTAGATTATAATCATTATGGAAAAATCTAGAGGTTTTGTTTTATTTTTAGTTTGAGTTCTTTGTTTTTTTTTGTTATGTATTGATAATCGATAAATGTGTGTTGTAGAAGTAGCCATACAGTTATGTACATATGTTAATGAAGTATCCTTCAACACAACAACGAAAAATATTAAAGTGGGAGTAGGTGAAACACATCAAATTAATCACTTTGTTGTGATATAGAGGCATCTAGCTCGTATCTTTCTGTTATATATTCTCTTTGTTATGTTTTGTTGCTAATTTGGTAGATCATGTATTTAGGTTTGATTAGTATTATTGTACTCGTACATAAAGAATTTCACGACATCGATTGGAGTAACAGACAACAGACTCATATTTCATAATTCAATCAATCAGTTCTTTTTGGAAGACGGAGAGATTTTTCTCATTTTGTTGTGTGTTTTCATTATATTTATCTTTGCATTAGTGGATTGAATGGTGAAATCATGCTACTATATCAGCTAATAACTCTTTTTTTAAACATCATCAATTTCAAACCTAAAATAGTTAGTTGTGGTTGGTTAATCAATAAATGAGCATCCTCCCGATGTTGTTAGTGTACTTGGAAGAGCTGAGTGACAAGACGAGAAAGATGAAAACTCATTTTTGTGAGTTACCTAACACATATTGTGTCCAACATGTAGAATTGTACATTGTTAAATAAAGAACTCTTAGAAAAACATGTAGAAAAACTTATAACACTTTCAACAACATAAATAAGGACATTTATATTAGCCTCAATCTGCCTAACAAACATAATGGCCTCCTTTGGTATTTGCATCAATTTGGATCAGTGGCATATTTTATTATCTGGTATTTTTATTTGCTCAATGGGATCATGGTAAGTTCAACCATGAAAAATGGATGAAATCATCTCCAACCCTTTGGTTCTAATGAGTTGGTTAGTCACTTAATCAACAACCTACAGTTACTATAAGAAGAAAAAAAAAACTTACAATTATTGAACTGACACGTAAGAGTTCATATCGAATTGAGGTTCTACCATTACTCGTCGATTCATCTCGTATAAAGCAAATTTCTACTCATGTCCAGAATCCAAACGATTCAAGTTTCTGTTCCTCAGTATTACAGCACAAAAATATTGTAAAGGAGCAAAGGAGTTGGTTATTGTACATGATCACACTCCCACTTAATCCACTCTTCTTTTCCATCTCTCTAGTCTCTACATCATAAGATCGGCTCATTCTCATCCACCAACACACTGTTCATCTACCGCTCAAGCTTGAATCCACACCTCTAAAGATCGAAGAACAACTGAGCTGCACTACATTCTATATATCTGTTTCTTGTACAAGTATATAAGAGTCCTCACATATCAACCACGCAAGCTCTTCAACATGATTCATCAAAACCACATATCATTCCTTCGCTACTAATCGTTCTGCATCTCCCAATTCAACTTCAGGCCTTTGCCCATCCGCACCACCATCCTCGAACAGCATCACGATCTGCTCCAACGACTTCCCTTTTGTCTCGGGCACACAACGATACACAAACAGAACAGCTAGAGCAGAGATCACAGCGAACACAAAAAACGTCCCGCCAACTGTGATGGCTCTACACACCGAGAGAAACGTCATCGTGACTAAACCGCTGCTCACCCTGCTAGCAACGGCTCCAAGAGCAGATGCCTGAGCCCTTAGCCTCAACGGAAATATCTCCGAAGAAAGCACCCAACAAATGGGACCGAGCCCCACCGAGAAGAAAGCCACATTGGCGCAGACCGATAACAGTGACAAGCTAATCCCAAGCCCTCCATTATGGCTCAGGAATGACAAGGTCAAGCTCAAACAGAGCAAGCTCATAGTCATCCCAATTGTGCTCAAGTAAAGCAATGGCTTTCTACCTAGTCTATCAATCAAGAATATGGCAAACAAGATAAACACAGTTTTGGTGAACCCCACGGCAACTGTTGCAGCGAGAACCTGAGCATTCCCTTGGATTCCAGCATGCTTGAAGATTGTTGGGCTGTAGTAAACTGTAGCTTCTATACCAGTGATCTGCTGAAAGCATTGGATTCCGCAGCCAGTGATTAACATTCGCTTGGCTGCTGGAGATGGGTTTAGAATTTCAAACCACACTTCTTTTTTGTCATATCTCTCAGCATTGGCTTCCTCTGCAGCTACTTGAATTTCAGCTAACCTCTCTTCCACTTCTTGCTCACTTTCATTGGTCTTGGAAAGCACCAATCTTGCCTCGTCGATCCGATTCTTCATTGCTAGCCATCTAGGCGATTCAGGGATCACGAAGAGTGCAAAACCCATGAAGATAGAAGGCAAGATCCCTACACCAAGCATGACCCTCCAACTCATGTGGACCGAGAGGTCCGAGAATGCATAGTTTGAAATGTATCCTAAGAGTATACCAAAGTTCACAAAAATCTCAGGGAATGAGGTTAGGGAGCCTCTGGCAACTGAAGGCGCGATTTCTACTATATACACCGGTGCAATCGCCACTCCAAACCCTATTCCTACTCCAGCCATCAGCCTGCCTATCATCAAAACCCTGAAGGAAGGTGCAAGAGCCATGATAGCACTTCCTGATTGGAAGATGACCGCTGATAATGCTATAGTCCATTTTCGGCCTATGATGTCCGATGTTTTGCCTCCGATTAAGCTCCCAAATAGGGAGACTATGCTTAAGATTCCCACCAGGACTTCCTCTTCAGTTTCCGAAATCTTGAGGTCTTCTTGGATGAAGATCACTGCTCCACTCATTACACCCACATCTGCAGATCGAGCAATAGTGAAATTTAGCCATAAGACAAAGGGAAGTTTTTCAGCTTTAATTCCCTTTTGGAATACAATGCTGGTCCTGTAATCGAACTGTGTGTAACCCCAATTGGCAAACTATTGTTCAGACAACGAGAAAACTAACAAGTTCTTATGCTTATTCAAAACGGGAAATCAGTAATCGAAGTCAACAAAATCCCCCACCCAACGACCACATAAAACTTTCTCGGAAGCCAAGCAAACCATAAGAAACTCACGGGATCGGAAAAAGGAAGAAACTTTCAGGGGGAGATCTATCTACCAACCATAACCCATCAGCACGGAATTGAGAGAGGCGAAGATGGCGCAGGCAAACACGTATTTCCTCGTATCATATTTCTTCACGGCAATCGCTTGCACCGACGACGGTGTATCCGCCTCGCTGCCGGCGTAGTCTATCCTCGAGTACTTGATACTTACATTGCTGCCGCCGTCTCCATTCACCTTTTCTTCTCCTTGCATTCCCATTTTTTCCCTCTGGACTGAAAACAATCAAACCGTTTCCAAATTCGTCGGGGAAGTGGGCTACTAATTTCCTGATTTCCCCCCCCCACTTCCCTCCTTCAATCTCGAAGCAAATCACGCGTTCCCCAGATCTGGGAAAGAAAGGAAGGAGGGGAAATCTAGGAAAGGAAAAATCCGCGGTAAGAAAATCCGGGAGAAGTAATTTCTTTTTTCTCGTAAACAAGAAATACAAAAGAACCAAAAATTTCTGACGGGGTTAGTGAGACGGAGACCCATTGAAGGCCGATCTTTGACGTGTCGCTCGCAGATGCAATCCATCAGTGAGTAAAACCCATATTTACGTGTCCCTTTGGCTGACCCGCGGGAAAAGGTTATATGTGGATGAAAAAGGTAAATTGGAAATAAACTAGGGGTATAACGATATATTGTGACTTGACAAAATCAGTCTTGGACTTGGAGAATTGCGCCTTTCTACTGCTGCTGCTTCTTCTCCTGTCTCTTCACTCTGCCATGGAAATGCCGAGGTAAATTGGGAACCAAGTTCCCTCCCAGATTCAGTCTGGCAGTTCTGATTAGGGTTTCCTTCTTTCTTCGTTCGGGAATGCTGGGTAAAAGGGAGGGATTTTTTCCGGGTAAGAATATCTCTCTGCCTTTGCTTCGCTCTGTTTTGTGTGAATAGTGGTGTGGGTAATGGGGGAAAGAATGGGGTTACGAGGAAGAAAAAGGAAAAGGAGTGGGTTTGTGGAATATCCGAGGTCGGTTAACAGAATGAAGAGGGGTGGGAGAAATGGATGGGCTGGTCAAAGTTCGGAGCTTTCTGGTTTCAAAGGGAGAGGGTTTAGTAGTAATAACAAACCCTACGGTTATGAGGCAGTGGATAGAGATTACATGAGGTTGCTTCAACCCGCCTGTGTAGAACCGGAAGAGGAAATGGATGCTGATTTTGTACAGTTCATGAGGGATGTTGGCAGTTTGGAAGCGAGAATGTCTCGTTCTTCTAGGAGATGCAAGTTGGTGGGTGAAGGAATTGAGGCTGGTGAGTATACTGATAATGGTGAAGCATCGAGGAAGAAGAAGAAGAAGAAGAAGTGTTGTCGTGGGTTTCATAAGTGGAAGAAAAATACTCCTACTGGTTCCTCAGGGGATTTCCATGGTGATGCTGTTGAAGAATCTCTTGATGAGGATATTCTCGGTGAGTCTTCTGATGGTGAGTATGAAATGTTCTTGGGGCATGTGAAGGAGGAGGGGGATTCTTACGTGGTCAGCATTCCTATGGGCCATGGGAAGTGGTCATCTTTCTCCTACGAAGCTGTAGATTTAGGTACATGGAAGGGTTATGCAAAGAAAGAAGGTAGGAAAGGTAATGGTGGCGTAAACTGCTTAAATGCTGGGAGAGGTGGAGTTTGCACTCGGTCTAAGTTTCGCTTGAATAGGAAGAGAAGTCCAGTGGTGGGAAGGAAGACCATGAACGAGACCACAGTTGGGTTAAGCTGTGGAAAGACTTTGAGAAATAATCAGGGGGGTCAGTGGAAGACTTCTGTTGCCAATTCGTCATTAGGCAATGAAAATGTTTTTGGTGAGTCCCTTGGTGACGATACTCTATGTGTTAACAATGTTACTGTTGACGAACCTTTGGCTGTTCCTGGTGTTAACAATGTTACTGTTGATGAACCTCTTGATGGTGAATATGAAATGTTCCTGGAGCATTTGACGGTGCATGAGACTTCATACATGCTTAATGTTACTGCAGGCGATGGGAAGTCGATATCTTTCTTGTACGGAGCAGAGGATTGCAGTACAAGGGAGGGTTTTGCAAAGGGAGAAGGTAGTGATGACTTGCAGCCCAAGAAGAGAAGAAGAGATGAAGATTGCATTAGCTCTAAGGTTAGGGTCGATCAGCAGAAGAGTGATGTGGTTGGAAGGAAACCTATTAACAAGACTAAAGTTGGCTGGAGAAGTGGAATGGGGATCAAGACATGCCAGTCTAACTTGTTGACTTCTGATGCCAATTCATCTTCAGGGTTTAGGACGAATGATGCTTACAATTTCACTCTAGAATCTCTTGATGGTGAATACGAAATGTTCTTGGAGCATCTGACAGTGCATGAGAATTCTTACATGTTTGATGTTACCACTGGGAATGGGAAGAATATATCTTTCTTGTACGGAGCAACAGACGAGGATTTTCCGTGCAAGAAGAGAAGAAATGAGGGGAGGCTGATGGAACTTCCTAACTGTGATGATGCCTTGAGAACTGAGGAAGAGAGAGGCATGGAAGCTCGTAGAGATCTAAGCGAGCAAGGAATGGAAACTCTGAATCCAGAAATTGCAGTTAGCACAGTTAACAAGGCGAGGTTGATGCAACTTCCTAATGGTGATGATACCTTGAGAACCAAGAAAGAGACAGCCATGGAAGCTTATAGAGATGTAAGCCCGCAAGGAATGGAAACCCTGATTGGACGGAATGACACTGAAAGAAGTGAGGGTATGAATCTGTCCATTTATCGTGATCAGTCTGCTGATAAAGGGCCTGAAATCGAAAATCTTGATTCAATCAAGCAACAGTGTGAAGAGGAGGTTGGTGGTTGTCAGGATCAGGTGGATAAATGCTTGAATTTGCAGATGGAAAATTTGATTGCTGATGAAGATGCTATCAAAGAAGAAGAAGTAGATCCAACAAGTTCAGCTGACTCGGATGATATTGTGATTGTAATCGATCCTGCCACATTCTCTCATGACAACAACACTCCATTTTTGCCTACAGAAGATCCTCAACTATACGTATGAAACTTTCTCCTTCACAGCTCCTAATGTTTTCGAAACCCTTCTCTGTATAAGCTAACTGGGCATATTGCATTGGACATTCATAGGTCGTACAGTATGACGACGAAGAAGACGACCCTACTGTCAGAAGCGACCATTCCGAGTTCCGATCGAAGCTGATGGAGATTCTCAGACAGCCATACTGCGACGAGGAGTATGACAAACTGTGGGCAGAGGTATCTCGACCAAGGCAGAAGCAATTCGACGAAGACATGCCACGTTCATCTCGAGACAAACACTCCCATGGCATGTCTTACCTCGACCAACACAAAGGTCTACTACCATCATCATTTCCTTTTCACTGTTATTTGTCGCAGGCTCGCAGCATTGTTGAGTAATAGTCAACTAGCATTATTTGAAAGTTTTTGCGGTTGTGTGCTCACTATTTATCTTAGACTTTGCGAAGAAGATTGCTGAGGTGCAGACTAGGCCCGATCTCGAGAACCGTCGCTCTCGCATGATGAACCTCTTACGTGGGTTTGTGTACTTGATGCAGGTGAGGGATGAGTGTTCTGCTGCTGGTTGTTTTGTTTCTGCTCTTTGTGATGTTGCTAATGAATACTGGTGTTTTTGTGTAGAATTTACCAGCTGTTGGAGCTTTTAAGCCGTGGGCAGACAAGTTGTGTTTGGAGGTGCTGCCATCATTAAGGTGTGATGGCGAGGCTAACTAGAACTAGTGTTGAGTTACCACTGCCATTATTGTTGTATAACGTGCTAAGTTCAGAAACTTTGTGGAAAGGAACGTAGTCTGTAGTGTCTCAGAATCTCTTGAGCTTTTAGTGGCTGCTAATCCATTTTCCACCCTGTTCTATACTGTTCTGAATTGTAGCAAGTTCAATACCTTGTATCCCTTCATTATGAACCCATGGTGGACAACAACTGACCATATTTTTGTAAAACCTTAATCAGCGGAGTGGTATTTAGTGTGCAATCGTGGTTTGACGGGTAGTACACTGATAGGCATCAGCTGTGGGATGCTACTGCATCTGATCCTAAGTTGCTTGTATTCTTGAAGGCATATCGAAATCCTGTTCTTGTACCAAGGCACTTGTCTCAGTAAAAAAAGTATCTTCAGGTTAGGAATTACTTGCTTAATTATGTGTGAAATCATGTTTTTGTTGGCTTACTGCTATTTGTCAACTGTTGACAGCCTTTCAAGGTATCAGGTTACAATTTGTTCCCCCCCACTTTGTTTTCAGTTAAGCCCTTTATTTGGTCTTCTTGAGTTTGGTCGTCTGGGTTTCTATACTAAGCCTTTCTTTTCTTGCAGGACATGGTTTAGGCATCTCCTGTTGTATTTGAAGTTTTTGAACAGGATGCTTTGTTTAAAGGGTACTCTATTTGCAGTTGGGTGGTTGGAGGTAAAGTGAGGTGGCTGCTGAATTGTATTGGATTGAAGACCTCTGTGTCTGTATGCTTAAGTAGGAAGGGTCCTCGTTTCAGAATCCAGATGATCTTTGTTGACCCACTAGAGTCTGTGATTAGTCAAACCTTGTGTTCTTACTAGTCTAATTGCAGCAACCCAACCCAACACTGCAGCTTTTTTGATGCACACTGTTCCCACCGGATCGGATTCCAAACAATATGCCATCAACACGGTGCAACGACGAGCCTGTTCAGACTCTTGGTCGCGGTTCAATTAGTCGAATCAAAACGATCAGAGTCGGAATTCGATCAAACTGTTCCGATCCTTCCTCTCGATTTACGTAAGCACGTTGTTGACACGATGTGATGACATGTAAAACGAGTGGGTGCAAATGCCATACCATAGCCCATACATAGACTGACATAGGCAAAATGGAACCAGAAGTGAACCGAACTTCAGAAATTTTAGTTATGAAAACAGCGACAAGTCCGCCCGCCTACCTTAAAAATTCGTTTCGTAAACTGATTTTATACAAATAAAAAAAATGTCCATGATCCAACCTGGAACTAACTAAGTGCGTCAGTGGGCCGAGCTGAATTGTCAGCCAACCACCCGAGAGAGAGAATTGCGGGTGGGACCCATTATCCATAATGCCCTGTTGCAGCAAGCTGCTGAACGATGGAGGAGGAGGGTTGTCGTTTAGTTATAGTAATTAATCATTAATAATTTTGGATAGAATTAAGCATATGATAATGATTATGATAGTTGTTTTTTTGGTTCAGTTTGCTCATAATAATAAACTAATCAAGTTTTAAAGAGGGCTTACCCCAACTAATAATCACTATAACAACTAAAAACGCGGTTGAGGAGAGACGATAGGTGAAAGAATTAATATATTTTGACTGGCCCATTAGTATCATTAGCGAATGTGTTTAAGCCCGAGTGATTAGACTGTTGTTGCAATTAGTTGTTTATGGATTGGTGCTGCAGCATGATTATCGTTTGCTTAACAAGCAGGGAAGGGAATGACAGATGGCTTTCCTCTCTTTGGGAGGCGTGGCGGGCTTTCAGACTGATTTGTCCCCACTGACACTCTGTTTTCTAAGCTGTAACAAGTGGCCACCAAAACAAGCAGTGTTATTAAAGCCGAGTCGAGCCGCTCGGCCCGACCGGTTAAAACCGCCACCCGGTCACAAAATTGGCTCGGAACAGTCTAGAAGCCGCTCCGGTTTTATGTAGCGGTTGACGAGCGGCCGAGGCTCGAGCCGATCTAGCCGCTCGTCCGGTTTTTGCCATTCAGCCGTTAAATTTAATTAAAAAAAATTGCAGAAAATTGAAAGTTGAAATAAACCAAAAACATCGGGCTCTCAAACTAAATCCTTATTTGCATTTCACAATTTCGAAGGAAAGAGACGAGCTCTGATTAAGAAATGTCCACGGCTTATACTGATAACGTTTATTAGCCGTACTGGATCTCTAACGGTTTTTAAACGGTCTAACGCCGGTTGGACCACTAAAATACGAGTCGTTCGCATTATCGGGTCATTCTCCGGTTCGGTTCTGACAACATTGCAAAACAGAGATAGAGCGAACCTACTCAGGAAACAAAGAGTACTAGTGAGAGTGGCCAATATAGAATTAACTCTACCGGAGAAAAAATCAAAGATTGTAAAATCGTATTTGAGATACGGACTATATCGACTTATCGGAATCCGGATGTATGTGTGTTTTTTTTTTTTTAATTGGACAGATTAAAGGTATTCGATTCCAATTCTGGTTTGGTGTCCATGTTAATTTAATGAGAGAATTCTTTGCAGGGGGAATGTTCTGTTCTGTTCTGCTCTGCTCTGCTTTGTTTATACGTACAAGAGGGAGGATTAAAGAAAAGGGAGAAGGAGGTTTGAAGAGAATAGTTGTCGTGGGCTGATGAGCATGCACGTGCCGCTCGTGGTCGTAATCACGGCGACGGCCGACTGACTCCAATTATAAGCTCTCTTTCTCATCTCAATCTCAATCTCCCTTCTACGTTAATAACATGATTAGCTAGTTAACAATAAATAAAACAGATGGAAATAAAACAAATATGGTGGAGTACATGAGTCATGACTATCATTCCGCCAACTACTTGCGGTTGTATAAGCCAAGTCGATGACGCAGTTTTGAATCATCTAAATTTAATCGTGCGAGGAAATGAAGACGAATGTTTATATCTGGACAAATAATCCACCTCTTTTTGCGGGTTTGTATGGATGTGAGTCCGATATGGTAGAACAAAATGTTTACTTCATTAGACATGACCTCCATCATCCTTCCATCCATTTGAGTAGGAGACACATTTAATAAAATTGTTTGATCGGATAATTTTCGCTAAAATCATTCGAACCGATCCGGAAGCCTAAAGAGAAGCTTCATCTTTGTCGATGATTTCGACTCATGCTATATGTACAGGTGTTGATGAAGAGTTGCGCAAATTTATCTTTCCCTTCTTACCACAAATCAACAAAAGTAAAACAAAGACGAGAACAGTGCTTCTACACCCCGACTCAATCATTTATTTACTTGCTACGGTATCAGAGCAATCACATCATAGTATAAGGTTTCTTTGAAGAAAACCATTGCACGTACAAGCTTATGGTTAAATCAAACTAAATTTTTTTTACGTGTGTCATAACCGGGTTGCTCATTAGTACGATATTGTCCGCTTTGGGCCAAGCCCGCACGGTTTTACTCTTGGGTGTCCTCCCCAAGAGGCCTCGTACTAATGAGCTTGGTGGACACTTATATACAAGGGTTACTTCTCTTGTATTTCCGATGTGGTACTTGGATTGTCCCATAACAACGTGATTTGCATAAGTTCAAACAACGAATTTGTATCATCCCGTATCACCGTCGTCATGTCGCTTCTCCGAGATTAAAGTAATTACATCACTCTAACTTAATTGCAAACCATCACATGGACTAATAACGACTAATGTGGCAGTCACAAGCAAAAAGATTCCCAACCGCCGCTACAAAACAAGTACACGAGGCCACACCTCGATCCCCCCTCCCGTCACCAGACAGTGTCGCCGTCGCCCAAAGGACGCGTTTCGTCGGTTCTCTGCCGCCAAAGCTAATAAAATCAAACCAGGGGGCCGCCGACGACAGAAACGACGAGATCCCCGCGCGCGGGAAGACGACAGAAGCTTGGGGCCGTCGTCGTCGTCATGGGCAGTTATCACATGCGGATAGGCCCATCAACTCATTTCCCTGGGGATCTACCAACTGGTGTCGGGTGGCTGTCTACTAAACTTGGGCCCATACCCAAGTGGGCCCCCACCCCCACCCCCTCATTTTCCCACAATCAATCACGTGTCCCCACGCCGCCCAAAACTCCCCTTTCCCCTACTACGACGATTCCCGCTCTCTCTAATCAGCTGGGCCCCACCTCCACCGCCCTTTCCTGAATCGCTGTACGGTCGAATTCCCTCACATCTTCTCCCTGTGATTTTATCCAGTCAAATAAGGAATGTGTACACACTACACACATATGTATGTGTAGACTGTAGTATACGAATGAGTTATTATTGCTTGCAACTTGCGATACGAGAATGTTGGACCAGACCAATGTCCGGTAAACCCTCTTTCTGCTGCAAATTTCCGTTCAAATCATATCTCGGGATATAGGATTGGATTTGTGCAACTACGTGTTTATTTATTATTAAATACGGTATCTCATGATATACATTTCGTTATGAGATGCGAGATGCAATGGTGTGAGTATGTGATGCAATGATGAGATGCAATGACGTAAACATGTTGGCCAAATTGACAGCGGGCATGGAAATCATCAACAGAGTCGATGTAGTGGAGATTTAGTTATCGACAGTACATTGCTATTGATAGCTGGCGCTAACACATTATGTCTGATGGAGGTTGCGACTTGTAACAATCAGATTGAGCATAATATTGGTGGAATCGATATTTACGTAGATGGGTACTCCGTACTCGTGAAACTCGTCTCTCGAGTTGATTGGAAATCATGCAAGCTCGATCCCCACATCGATTCACGACTCGAGTGATGATCACTGGTTATCAATGGGTTGTCCTTGACAAATAGGCATTGGATTTACTTCTAAGTGAGCAAAGAGAAGGTTTGTCGGCCACCACCCCATTAACGAACAGGAAAAGAAATCGACGTCGTTATCAATAAGTGGTACAAATGAAAATCTATACAGAGATGAAATTCACGAAACACATCTATCAACTTAATAAAAAAAATTATACGAAAACTTCATCATTTCAGCTCGAGCGACAACGCAGCCTCGTCGCAGCCTCCACCCATCCACTAGTTAGTTAATTAACTACACAATTTTCCTCAAACCTTCATTTGGGTAAGTCCCATTAACTACAAGTTCCCAAGCTTACCATTATTATAATTCTCCTTCTCCACGTACCAAGAGGATTTCTTTCGATATTTACAACCCCAAACACCGATGTGATCTTTCATTCGGGCACCCGATTAGGTTAAAAACTATTACAACTAGCTAGCTTACCTAACTGTTAAGAAACCACTATACAATTTTGGCCATGGAGCTAGCAAACCAACAACAAAGCCATGATGATGAACACATCCACGTCCCTTTACAACTCATGCATATGTATGTGTAGAACCGCACTATCAACGGCCCCCAACCCATCCACGTGTCAACAACCCATCTCCCACCTTAGGGACGAAGCAAAACAAAGAATCTCTCTCTCTCTCTACAACTCAATATGATCTTATAGAGAGAGACTGGCCTTGGCCAGCATCATCAGAAGAGGGCATGTTCCCTTAGACCTCCCCCTAAACCAGAAAATTGATTTCCCACAACTCCTCCAACTATTGTGAATCTTGGACCACTCCTATTATTTTTCATTCAAATCCCATCTCTCTTCTCTCTTCATAATTCCTCCATTTGCCCTATCATCATTGCATCTACTCCATCGTCGTTTTCCCATAGATTGTGAGTAGAGGGTGGTGTACACATACTAGGCCGAAAAATTCGGATCAAGATGTGTTCAGTACATATCATCGTCGTTTTTCTCACACCAGACTGAAACTTCAAATCAGACTATGCCTAGTACATAGTGTCGCTTTCCGACAAAGATAGTAAGGTGAAAAATTCGTAACAAAGTACTATGTCCAGTTTCTGTAGAATCAATTAAGATACATAAAGATAAGTATAACGAAAGAAATACATGTCCAATAATATTTGAAGTATCGCTAGAGTACAAAATTGTGTAGGTTAACTGAAAAGACGCGAAACAGACCAGTTATGAACTATTAAAGTGTAATAGTGAGTAGTTTTTTGGGTCGTGTAGATGTCTACTTGAGCTACTAGGGAACATATTTATAAGGCAAAGAGAGGAGAGAGAGAGATGAGGGATATAGATAGTAATCCAAAAGGAAAGAAATGCTCACTAACTAGCCTCCTCCTCCATTCACCTTCCTCCCAATTTCCTCATCCCTAAGCAACTCTCCCTTCATTTCTTCCTCTCCCCAATTTGGTTTATAATAACCAGCTTCACTAATCTCATCCCTTCTTCTCCTTCATCTCTTGATTTGGATTGATTAGCCATAAAAAAAAATCTCAATTGGGTTCAAATTGATGATGGGTTTGAGCACAAAGCAGGTTTCTTCTAACGACGGATTGGACTGGAGCCAGAGCAGCCTAATCCTCCAACCGCCGCCGCCGCCGCAAATTCTCCACCCGGCGGCTGCAACGAAGCCTCCGCCCGATCCGACGGGCAGGAGGCGGCATCAGATGAACCAGGATCACAACCAACCGGAGCCGTTGAAGTGTCCGAGATGCGACTCCAGCAACACCAAGTTCTGCTACTACAACAACTACAACAAATCCCAGCCCCGGCATTTCTGTAAAGCCTGCAAGCGCCATTGGACCAAAGGCGGGACCTTGCGCAACGTCCCCGTCGGCGGCGGCCGGAAGAACAAGCGCCCCCACAAACCCTCCGGCTCCGGCAACGGCAAGATCATTAACAAGGTTAATCCGAAGATGGTAATTCAAGCCCAGCAGAACAAGAAGCCGAAACAGAGTACTGAAGGAGGAGGCAGAGCATCGTCGTCACCAAACGACATCGTTTTCAGTAGTGGAGTAACAGATCACCCCTCGCTAAAACTCCCGTCGCCGATGGGTCCACCGGCGGAGAGCGATTCCGTCGTGGCTAACTTCGACGACGAGGAGGGAATTGGGTTTGTGTTTTCGCAAGGTCTGAGCTTTCCCAATTACTCTGCCTCGTCCTCTGCCATCTCCACCTCCTCCGCCGCCGTTGCCAGTTTCGACGGGCAGTTTCTGGGCTTGCCTTCAGGTGCCGCCGGATATACTCCCGCCACGTGGCAGGTTCCTAGCACGATCGGCGGCGGGAGTGGGAATATGAACGATATGGCGAGCGGCGGCGGCGGGTACTGGAATTGGGATGTCGATATGGATAACTTGGTTTCTTCCGCGGATCTCAACATTCCGTGGGACGATTCCGAGATTAAACCATGTGATTAAGTCTCTTTCTCTCCCTTTCTTCTGATTAATTTGATTAAATTCTAAGTTAACTAATTAAGGTTAGTTTTAGCTGGGGAGAGGGATGGATCATGGAAGTGTGTAAAGATGATGATTAATTTCGTTCTTTAGAGTTTTGATTATGATTTGGGTTGGAGGCTTTGGAGAGGGATGTTTCATTGTTATGTAAGAACAATGTGGGTGGGTGAGTTTGTTTTTAAATTTCTGGTTTTTTTGGTGGGGATTTTGATGTATTGTTATGGTATAATAGTGTGGAAGAAGAAGCAGAAGAAAAAAAGAAAGGATTGGAACAGTTTGGAGCTGTCATTTTTAGCTACAGCTTCAGGCCAAAGTCAATCAATAGTACTCCTACCTTAATTTTGTTAAACTCCTGTGTTGTGTTATATTTCTCTATCTTCATCAATTTGCCCATATTATGTCAATAAGAGTGTGAAAACACCAGTTCTCAATTGTCAGATTGAAAACTGAATAATTTGATTAATTTTGAGATGCAAGAACACTACAATAACAAAGTGATGTTTTCGTGTTTGATAAGGCGACATTTTCTTCACAAGTGATATTCGTTCAGAAATTGGAATTTTGATATTGGTGGATATCTAATTTGATTCTCATATTATCACTCACCGATCCTTAACATATTTATTGGAATCCGAGTTGGATATAACAAGGGAACTAATTTATTTAGGTAATAATCGCTTGTTTCTTCGCACTTCCTCTTCCTCTTGAAAATGAAGGATAAAGTTACCTAATTTCTCTTCAAAATAAACGTAAGCTTGGGAAAGCTTACATTTTTTCTTTTTACAAACAATGTTGGCTTGAGAATTGAAATCTCGATACCTTGAGTACTAAATTCATTTCTCATATTATCACTCAACAATCTACGGTACATCTATTTAAGCTCAAGTTGGAAAATGGGAGAAAGTGACACAAGGCTTAACCCGTTTCTTCAAAATATTGATTAACACATTAGTGTGTTGTTTTGCATCGAGGCTACCGAGATGACGATTTTGGGGAGTATGGTTGCTTGGGAAGTGGGGCATGGGTCAGCAGTAGTAGTAGTGACAGGATGAAGATGGGGACACTCTCACACAGCAATGGAAAGGGACTTTGGCTTGAATTATAGGAGTGGTGATGGCAGATTCTCTTGGATATGGGTTTGAGACTTTGAGTAGACATTTTTATGTTTTTGTTTTGGATAGCCGACCAAATATGTACACAGTTATGTGTTTTTTTTTTTCTCTCCAAATTTCCATGGTGGGGATTTGTAGGCTCTCCTCCACCACCAATTGTTGGGATCATTCTGTCCTGTGCTCTGTTTCTCATACCGATTCTAGCAGCTGGAAGGAAGAGATTGGTTACCAGGTCTATGTGGAAGATGATAAGAAACTAAGTTCAATTCATCAAAAAGAAAGCAGTTATTCTCACTAGAAAATTCTCGAGTCCTGTTAGAGGGTGGTATAAGATCCAACATAACATCCTTTAAACAACTCGAGTTATTGGGATCAACTGGTTATTGACACTTATTCCTTATACCCGTCTCGAATCGTACCAAACCAGCAGCAACTGCAGCAAGGAAAAAGTTACTGATGGTATCCAGTAACAACTTTCAAGTCGAACCCTTCACCATTATGAACTATCTCTTTCATTCTGGTTTTTTTCTTCTTCTTTTCAAACGGATGCTCCATTGCAGAGTTGAATATGGAGGTCTTTTCCATCTGTATATAGTGAAACAAGTTGACAAATTAGGGAAAGAGAAGTTCAGGAATCAGGGGCCAAATGACAAAAGGGCGCATCAAATCACACTGCAGAGTGATGATGAGAGAGGCCTAAGTTCCCTTCTAGGTCGGCGGTCTAATGGTACCATAAACAGAGTACAGAGGCTGACTAGTGACTCCACAAGCGTCCAATTCTATCTAAGTCACAATGAATTGAAGCAAACTGATGATCTCCAAGACTGGTTGGCTGCCCTGCAGGCCATCAATTATTTCCCTTGTTTTGCATTGGTGGTTGGCCTCCTAGCTTGAATTCATAGGGTGGTGGGTGTGGGTGGCAAGAGTTCTTGGAGGAAGGAGAAGTCAATGTGTGTTGCTAAACCCGGGATGATATGGCCTAACTCCGCCACGGTTGATTTACACGCGTATGGTATTATAGACATGTGCAAACTTCGAGCCAATGAGGTAGTTTTTGGTAAAGAAAGTGTGTAACGTCACTGTGTCTAGCGATGGGCCATTTCTTCCATCCTCGTGACATGGGGATGCAGTAGAGATTGGTAGGACTACCTATATCGATAACGTGAAAAGTTGTTCCATCTCTCATACGAAAATTCGAATGATTTGAGGGTCTTGAAACGAACCAATTTGACTATGGTGCTACCAGGAGTTGCGAACCGTCACATCTGATGTAAGACGCTTCCCGCATATAGTCTGACGACTCACAAGTCTATGTGTTAGCAACTCCTTGTTTGGAACTGAACAATGGATACAAAACTTCTTGTTCGACGAAACACTTTCTGCCTGGGGATTAGGGAGATTCAGCTGAAAGAGACCAACCTCATTGCATTCATAGATAAGCTAACTTCAGTTTCAGGGACGACAATCCAAGTTTTCTATCAACAAACAATTTGCCGACTGCAAATCCTGTAAAGAATGTATCTCTTTGTACAAGGTCTGGAAATCAAACCTCACCTCGCCCTCTTCTCCAAGATCACATGAGTTATGAGTATTTTTTTTAATTTTTACTACAGCCGTCCCATGGTGACGCCGGCGTCTCCGGCGAGGGAAGGCATGCCGTCGCTAGCCTTGGAATGGTGGATGTAGTAGAACTCCGACGCGATCCCGGTGAAAAGAATGAAAGCAGCTCCGGCGCCAAAAATCCCTTTCCTCAACGCCTTGCAAGAGAAGGAGTCGGTCAGATATCCCGTGTGCTTGGCGTTGCGGATTGCGGCAGCCAAGAGGCACACCTCCGCGATGATGAAGAACACCCTGCAGAAATCGCCCCCCATGGCAAATTGTAACAAAATCATGATTGATAATTGATATTGAGGTAGTATCTCGAAAGTCCTAAAGAGAGTGACCCAGTACACGATTCACTCAAATAAGTAACACAATTTTTTTTTGGTTCGATTTCTAACGTAACATTGAGTAAATCAAGTCAAGAGATGGAATGCCACAACCCATAGTTTGATAAGGTAAGCCAAATGATTGTCGGCCTTCAACAGGGGTGTGTAATGGTTTGGTTCGTAGTGGAATGCATCAGAAGCAAATTGATGTTGAACCGCACTATTCCAAAGCGAATATAATGTGGTGCGGCTCTTAATCTCATGAATTTTACAATAACGGAAAAAAATTGGACCGAAGTGACATTTAGATCCGACCAAATCGGACTAAATACACTGTTGATCTATTCCTTAATACTAAAATGTCTAAACGCGATTCTTATAAACTTGATCTGGATCATTGCGCCGTAATCTTTAGCCCGGATGAGACCAAAGTGCTTCAATAGGAAGCGAAGGATACACCGAATTACCCGATTCTCGAACCAAGAACTCTATAATCTATATTCAAAGTCCGGCATCACAACCACACCCACAATTTTTTACCAGCCTAAATTGAAGCTAACACACTGTAAAATTGCAGAAAATTTAAAAGATATAAGTGTGTGCAAATAACGTACCAGGTGGAGACGAAGAGGAAAATGGCCAACGACCTGGACTTGCTGGGCCTCATAGCTCTCCCGCAGCACAAGCACTTAGTCACCGCCATTACCAAAAGTTGACTCGCCAGCAGCATCACCAAAGCGCCGGCGCCTAACCCGGTCGCTATATCCGACTCGTAAACGCAGTACCCGTTGTTGTTCACATCCGCCTCCACCCTCCCCTGTTTTTTTCCCCAACAGTAAAAAAAACAGAGTTAGAACAGTCGGTTGACCTCAGACATAAAAGGTTGAGAATTTCAAACTTACGGTGTTGCGCCTCCGTTCGGCGGCGACGGCGAGAGAGAAGGCGATGAGATCGAGGACGAACACGGCGACGATCAGCAGCGTGGAAGCCATTATTGACGATCTCCGGCGGGAGGGTCAAATCGGCGAGGGGTTTGAGGGAGGAAAAACAGGGGAGACAAAGTGCGTTAGGAGGAAGCCCACTCAAGCTAAGGTAAAGATAGAAATGTGGAAACAGTGGAAATGGGACCTTTGCTTGAAAAGACAACTGACCTATAAAAGAAGGTTCGCCGGATTGTGACGGATTAACCAAGTGGGGTGCCGGAAGAATCCGAATAAAAAATTTCCAGCTGATAGGTATTATTTTTTTTTTAATTAGGTGAAGGTAAACTAACGCACCAGAAATTAGATGGCCAAACTAATTAGTTAAGGATATTGTAGCTTAAAATAATTAGTTTGAAACAGAATAGGATGATCAAACATATTACCCGAAATCAAGGTCGAAGAAGACGATAGATGTAGGGCGAGTGTCAGGATATAGTAAAAGTAGTCGTTTGTACTATACTACGATAAACGAAATAGCAGTTTACAACATTTCTACATTTCAGTTCACATAATTGATAACTTAATATTTAACAACAACAAAAAAATAACTGACAAATTCATAGAATCATAATTCAATAACAAATGTTTTTGAGTTATTGAAAAAAATTGGAAGATTGAATTTGTAAATAATGTTAATTTCTTTACTTGAGCATCTAGCTTGGCCTAACTTACTACACCTAAACACTACTAAGGTGTCACTTTATTCCATCACCGGATTCTAAATTACTAACTTACCACGAAACCACTAAACAAAATGTCTAAACATTACCGAACACCTAAACACGTTAGTTTCAACCAACTTTTTTAACCCTACCCAAAACAGAGGGTATAACATAAAAGTGCTTTTCTTTTTCAAGAAATCGAAAAAATTGGGGGAGAAAGGGGGAATATATGAGCTTGGCCAGCTTTGATTCCTTCGCCTGGAGAGGAAACAGTTGGAATAAAGTGCTGATGATTCTTTTGGGTGAGTAATATTATTTATTAGCCATTCATTTCATATTCATCATTATTGTAGTAATTACTGTTATTGAGTAACTAATCGAAGCAGACATTTTTAATTATTTGCAGCCCTTTGAACGTTTTACAATTTTCCGGCCATATTGTCGAGCATTCTGTGTCACGGCCACACTAGTGATGATCTTAGAAATTAGAATCACCCCAACTTAATAGTTGAAAACCAGTAGCGTATATGAGTGGAGAAACTAAATTTTCAATGATTTTTTCCAAGATCAAGATGGATATCTTGGTTGGGACATTGATTCAAAAACCTAATTAGTTGATCAGCCGATTACCAACTGCGGCCGTCGATAAACATCGATTATTTTAAGGTGCCGTTGTAACCAACAAATCGATTAAAGAAATGGCGACTGAATGGGACGTGGCTTTCTTGGATGTGACTTCATCGTCATCTTTTCTGACATGGATGTAAATGATCCGGCGCCCTTGTTTTTTCCATTGTCATTCACGATGTCGATTTCCCGTGCTTCGACTAAGTCACAAAAAAGATCCTATAAACCAGCATTGTTATCGGCGGTGACGATTCTCTGCCGCCGGCTTTAATTTCCTTGACGTCGGACAATAATTGTGGGTCAAAGTACTCTCTTCTTTCTCTTCTGTGGAAACCCAGCAACTTTAGTGGGATTCCGAGATGAATCCCGCCGAAGGGAAACTCAACACTCTGTTAGAATATAAGAGAACAGGGGAGACTCTGTTTCCAGAAAAGGGAAACCTAGCGACGGCCGAAAGCCGGAAACAGAGGAATTAGTGCTGCTCGGGGAAGGAAGGAGGGAGAAGGATTTTTCTTCCGATCTCTCAAATCCTTGTGGTGGTAAGGGAAAGAGCGGATAATCAGGGAAATCTATGACTCGGGGAAAGAAGGGAAGGCCGGGGAACTTGGGAGCCGATCAGGGAGGTAGAAGGAAATCTCTCGCCGGCGACAAACACCACCACCACGAGGCGCGTTTTATTTATTGGGCTGGACTTCAATACAGAAATTACGGTGGGTTAACGCGGAGGGGCAGGCCCGGCCCATATAAAATGGCCCACATTCCTTACCCACAGGTAGAGATCATATTACTGTGGGTTAAGGCAGAGGTGGGGCAGGCCCGACCCGTAAAGAATTGCCCACGCTCCTTAACCAAATAGGAAGGGCAATGGGGCTGGCCAGTCAATATTCATGTCTGTCCACACTAAGTGTGGTCCGGTATAGGGCTGGGAAATGGTGCGATTTGGTTTAGATCGGACCATATAGACGATTTACGATCCAGACCGAGAGGTTTGAGTATACATCATAGACCGGACCAAAGATTATACGGTGCAGACCAGATCATGCCGATGCGATTTAGTCCAAATAGACCACAATAAATGAAAAATTAATAATTTGATTAGTCAACCACACAAAAAATTGAACCAATAGCAAAAGGAAAATATTATTTTTGTCTTAAAACGTAAATTCCAACATGCATGAATTATTTTGACACCATAAATCTTAGGAAATAATAAAGATACATAGTCAAAGCATCCCAACTTACACCATAACGTCATAACAATTTACATAATGTCATATGGAGATACGGTCGTCTCTTTCTCTTTGGTGAAATGTTGTTGTGAATGAAGAAGGGACGAGATTCTCAAAGTTAAGATTGAGACTTGGGTATCATTGTGGGAGTTGAGAGAGTGGTCGAGTGGGCTGCAAACACACATTGATAAGTAAGCAGGATTCACGGTTTGGTCCGGTAAACCGCGATCTAGACCAGACCAGACCAAGAGAACAAAACATCACCATGGACCAGACCAGATCAGTAGTAACGGTCTACAGTCCGGACCAAACTGTGTGGTCCAGTTTGAACCATGAGCTTTCAAACGGTCTGGTCTATTTTCTTAGCCCTAGTCTGATTGAGTAAAACTAAATATTTTTTATTTTTGCCATTGATAGTAGATTAAAATAAATAGTGAGAGAGCTTTACGTAATCAAGTACGACAGTTGACCAATAGTCAAACTGCTGATGAAAGGATCATTTTAGCTACTAAATGGATAACCCTGTTGTACCCGTAGAGAGTAAAAGTACATAAAAAAAGTTTGAAAAACTTGATATATCCATCTGAATTTCTGCAAGCAGTGCATCACCCAAACAATGAGCCATATTCCTCTCCCGAACACGTCGTGCACGAAGGAATAAAAAATATATATTAAATTGGACGAATTAAGATGGAACGGGCTAAGGACAGAACATGTTAAGTAAAACAAGGCAAAGTTAAGATCATACTCTACCCCATGCTATTCGCTAGCGCAGGTAAATACCTATATAATACGAGTTGAGACAAGTTGAATCATGCGATTCATATTGAAAATTGAAATAGTTATGGTTGAATTTAGGGCAATGTCTATTTTTTACCCAAACCTTTTCCAGATTCTTTTATTTTAACCAAACCTATTGAATTCCTAAAAATTATCCAAACGTTAACTCTCCGTCAACTTTTTTGTTAGCAATGCTGACTAAGTATGACCATAATGAGTTGACTTCCTACGTGACGATCATAATACCATCACTTACTATTTTTAATAAAAAGATTATCAAAAAACAAAACAAAATCCCACCCCTCACGTGGACGAAATAAGTAACGGTAACAGAATGAAAGCCCAGACTTTGATAAATTATAATACGTTTGGATAATAAATAGAATTTCTATAGATTTGGTTAAAATAAAAGAATCTGAAAAAGATTTGGGTAAAAAATAGACATTGCCCTTGAATTTACTCCAAGGTGGGAAATGAGATAAAGATGCTATTAGAAGTTACAACTTACAAGCACATTATAAAAAATAAAAAAAGTTACAACTTACAAGCAACACCTGTCTTCATAAGTAAATTCATATTTATTTATTTTAATCAACATGTCTCTTTTATGTGATTGACGAACTACATCTAAACAAACACACTCTTACATTTACAAGATTTACTTACTAACTCAGTAAGAAAATCAATCAAGTTAAAGTCTTCTCAATATTTCGATTGATAAACAGTTTGTGGCAGTCACCTCTGACGAGACCCAATATATATGGTGCGGCTTTTTCCTTTGAGCATATTCCCATTGAATTTCAATGTGCAACGCAATTTACTATTTGTTTGTCATTACCTTGCTCATAGAGCTTTCACTCATAAAAGCCGTGTGCTCTAACATTCACATAGTGCTCTTCTCGTATGACCAAACACAAACTAATAACATGGCTACACCTGGAACTCCAGCTACTATGTTTAACTCAATTATTAACATTGATAACGACTGCCATCTAGACAAAGATAACGAAAAGTGACCATGAATGACATAAATATATAATGTTAATGACGAATTTGCAAGAGAAAGTAATTTGAGTGTCAAATATGAAAACAAACTTGTAATATAGAGTGGCCAAACTTACAATTCAGCTAGGGGTGGGCATTCGGTCGGTTCGATTCAAACCGAACCGAACAGACAAATACCGACTCCCCGAAGTAGTTCACAGCACAAACCGAATTCGAACCGAAATATATTTCGGTTCGGTTCATCCGAACCGAGATATATTTCGGTTCGATTCGGTTTTCGAGGCCATACCCGAAGTTCCAGAAAATAACTCCCACCCCACCTTTTTCTTTTCACGGGAAGCACTCTTTCCCACTCCCACCCCACCTTTTTCTTTTCACGTGAATCACTCTTTCCCCCTCCCACCACTTACTTTATCTCTCTCTTTACCTATCTATCTCTCTCTCCTCATAGCACAAATGCAACCACTCCTCCCCTCTCTTGGTCTCTGGACTCGGCGGCAACAGGCGACGATGGCGAGAACATGCAAGTCAAAGCAGGCGACGATGGCGACTGACGGAGAGAACTCAGGGGTAGGCGGCGATGGTGCGAGCAGATTCAGAGACGGAGAGCGTGCAGATTCAGATGGCGATTGACGAAGTGAGTCAACCACTAGCTCCCTCCTTGATTTTGATTTTTGCATGTTGCCGTCAGTAGCCGCTGGATTCCGATTTCTGATTTTTGCCTATTATTCTTGCTTCTTCTTCTTCTTCCTCCTCTTCAATGAGGGCTTTTAGGGTTTCCAGACAGTGAAGGAGGTGAGATGGCGACATAGCGTGAAGGAGAAGAGGGTGGAGGCGATGGCCGATTTGATGGAGTCGC